CAAACTGGGTAAGCCTCTGGTTCAGATGGACACACAAATCACTTACTTACACCCTAAAGGTAGATAAACACATACAGTAGATACCCACTTCAGTAGGTTATGAGTATTTCAATTAGCAAAATGTATAGTGTAATCATCATAGCCATAATGTGAACGTAATTGGGTTGGAGTGTTCTCAGATAGCAGAGGTTGTTACATCAACATCAAGGTCAAGAAGTTTGCTTGATTTCAAAATAAATGTTATTGAACAACAGTGAACAGTCAATATTGGCATCAGCTTTAAAGGAGCAATATGTAAGATATCTCCCGACTGAAATCATAAAATGACCTTAATATATAAACAGCAAACCAACGGGTGTGGCAGCGATTGTAGTGGGCAAGCAAACTGGTTCAGATATAATTTATGCTACCTGATCTAAAAAGCCTCAGCATTTTTCCAATAAGCTCCACGACAAGAAACGGGGTAAAACTAGGATACATATCAGAGATGCTTTTGAAAAATGGAGAGAGGTTAAGATACAGAAAGGTTTACTTTAATGATGATGAAGAGCTGGCCAAACACTGAAGCTACTGTGTCCATGAAATGACAACCACCGTGCACCTCAACTCTAGGGAGGAGGTGGGCGGGCGGCGGGTGGAAATCGCTCTCTCCAATGTTTAGAATTTGGATTGCAGTACCCATTCTAAACACTATGTGTCAGAGTTAACATATTGCTCCTTTAACTAACCAAGTAGTGTGAAGTTTAACAAAGCCTCTTTGTCAAAATGACAAAATAACTTCAGAACTGGAAAAGTGGTGACATTACCGTGGATAAAGTAGGAAACAGCCCAGCCAAGGAGTGGTTCTTATTCAGGCATTGGTGATGATTACATGAGGTTAGAAACAGAAAGCCAGTGCCAGAGGTTTGACCATACTCAGAGACGAAACACATTTTCCTCTTCATCTATTAAAAGCTTTCTAGGCAGTATCACTATGAAGCCATGAACAATTCATGAAAACATTTGACAAACAGGCTGACTGTTGAAAGGCCATCACCTGCTTTGAAGGGAGAATTGTGGAGCTGATTTACTAAACAGTGCTGCTTCAAACCAGAATTAGCAATATACTGAGCCTAGAAGATTTTTTGACCTTTTGTGACAAACTTTCTCTTTGAACTGATGTTGAGTTCATGTTGTTGTCATGTTGTGGAGCTGTTCGCTTTGCCCTAACAGCTTCTGACAAGCTGCAGTATGCCCAGCAACAGTGCATACTCTGCTGGGCGAGAGGGGGTGAAGGGTGTGTGTGTGTGTGTGTGTGTGTGTGTGTGTGTGTGTGTGTGTGTGTGTGTGTGTGTGTGTGTGTGTGTGTGTGTGTGTGTGTGTGTGTGTGTGTGTGTGTGAAACATCATGCCGTTGGTCTCTTTTGACTCATGCTGCATGACCAAGAGGGGGAGTGTATCACTGCATCTCCTCTTTCCATGCGCACATGTACAAATATGATCCATTATTTAAATAATCCATGCAGCAGTTTGGCACCCATGTATATGGTTTATTTATCTGTTTTACATATAAAGGTAAAATCTGGATGCATTGATTTATTTCAGTCACCTTGAATTTGGAATGAGCCACATGGGTTGTGATGGATGAAGGTTTAGTGTTTATTTGCAGAAAATGTTCCCAGCACACGTTACAGGGCCTCAATTAAATTCCATTTTATGTCTTTCTAATTAAAGATGGATGTGTAATAAATGAAACGTGGATGGAAATCACATTCCAGTACCTAATGTCTCCATATTTGATTCTGTATTGAGAAATGTATAAATGTATAATAATGGATTCAGAATTGTTTTTATCATAATTTCTCTTCATCAGCTCACACTAAGTGGTGCAAGGTAATCCTTGTGTTTCTGAAAACACTGGTGCAAATGTCTCTTTGTATTTAAAGTACTGACAAATTGTGAACAGTAGTAATTTAATCCCGTAGTTTATCTCTTGTATTTATACTTCTTGTGCTTTTTAGTTTTTTATGATGATATGGACCTATGGGTCTGAAATACATGCTGTATATAGACAACAGAAATAAACTAGCATACAATGAAATGTTTGTTTAAAAAATACATTTATACTTATTTTTAATAAATAATAGTCTTTTACAAAATGTTGTCCAAATTTGTAATTTGTCCAACTTTTCATTTTTTGTTTTATATTTGTGACAATTATATATTATATTAGAAAAATGTATATTCCAACTGATATTGGAAAACTCTATTAATGTCCTTATATGCTCCTTCTTGCTTGTTGGGTTGATGTCTTATTTAAAAAAGAAAAATAATCAGAATAGCATCCTTCTTCACAAACCCTGAAGTTAACAAGTGGATTTCACTTAACGCATCACAGTGGCGTTTCTAGAGTCTGCAGGGGCCCTTGGCAAAAATGAATGTCTGCCAGTGTTCCGACATTGTCGTCTACCAAAACAGCTCCTCCTTACTTAAACTCTCTCATCCAGGTCTACACTCCCTCTCTGAAGAACTTCAAAACACTATTCAATCCGCAGAGAGCTAAAGATCCACCTCTTTAATGAACATCTACACACAATGATTAACGCACAATGGTGTTCATTTTGATGAGTGGGATGGTTTTGATGCTAATTAGAACTCTCAAGAACCGCTGTCGATGTCCATGTGCACTGTCTGTCAGCACCTGTCTGTCAGCACCTGTTGTCCGATCAGACTTAAAGCTGTTTCATCTTTCTCTCTAGATCCTTGCTTGTGTTGTACTTACTCTCTGATTGTTTTTATAAGAGTAGATGTACTGAGTTTATGTATTTAACAAATAACAAACAAAGAAACAAATGCACAAATGATTTACTCATGTACAAAAAAAAACGCTGAATAAATTACATGTCGTCACTAAAAGCAGTACTGACTGAGCGCCCTCAGGTATTTTGCTTCGTCCATTAATCAGCAAAATGTCAGATTGTTCAGCTCCAGCAGTGGGCAGACTGTTTAACAAAATACTGCCTGTCTGGGCTCTGCAGTAAAATTAGACTCTCACAGGTCAGCACTTCCCTGCAGCTTCATGCCGATTTTTTTGCAGACAGATTGAGTGTTTTCCTTGTAGATGTAATGTACCAGCTCCTTTGATATAGAACAATACACAAAGCAGCCCTGAGTGTCCATCTCGTGCCATTTATTAACCCTGGAGCGGCACCTCTGCATTAACTGTTATTCAAGCCTTGCTTAAGGTTAAGAACACTCTGAATAATACTGACTCTAAGATCACAAACATAGAGTGCCTTATTTATGTTCACTCTCTGCAGAACGGCATTGGCACAATCACACAATCTTGCTGTGTAATGCTACAGCTATTGGCAACTTGCATCATGACTTTGCATTATGCCTATACACTATGATGTCACACAGGGTATTTATTAATACCACAGGCCAAAAAAGACACACAAATCATTTGAAAAATGACTCATTTACTCTAAGAAGAGCAAGAGAAGAAGACGATAACACTTGTGACTGTATGTTCACCAATCTTATCTGATGCTACAACCAATGGCTCGTTAGCTTAGCTTGGCAGAAACACCAGAAGCTCAAGTGTCGAAGCAACGTTCTCTGTTCAATATGCGACACAATATTTGCCTCTAAAAAAAAATGCCAAGAAAACAGCAGAATTTCCAGGAAGTCACTGCATCACCCCAACACATATTTATGTGCAAAACCCTTATAAAGGAATGATGACCCATGTATTCTTTGCATGGGTTCAATAAACTTGATATTACGTTTTAATTACTTAGCCAAAGAGTTGTTTTTTTGGCAGACATCATCACCTTACAGAGTGAGTGTTTCTTTATTCTAAGATAAGCTGAAGCTTCATGTTTAGCCCACTGACATGAGATTGACACAGTCTCGCTGTCTTCCTCTCTGCCCAAAGCATTCCTTTCAGGCGTCATAAGCATCTACGCAGTGCTGGCACCTTTGCACCAGGTCCCACTAACTGACAAATAGGATCCCTACATGGAAAAAGAAAGAACCTTAATTTACTGCAAACCAACCTCAACCAGGAATAGAAATGTACATGCTGCAGCAAATGCAGTGGCTGTGTTGCCCAACCCTTTAATCATTATGTGCCTTGGTATATTTGCATTTGGTGGACTCTACTTTAAGATGCACCAAATAAGACACAAACAAAAAACACATACTGATAATAACAGTTAAAAAACAACAACACAGGAGCCTATTATGATGGCATATACAGACTAAATAAGGACCTTACACTAGCACATTAAACCACATCCCTCTACAGAACAAGACTTGTGATAAAAGTGATAACAGACATCAGAGCAGGTTGACACTGGCACCAGACATTTTCCCTGCTGTAAACATCGACAGGTTCAACACAGCCATTCAAATAAAACTGTTCACACAGCCCAGTGGTCAGCAATGCACTGCTCTGCTGCCTCACACCGCGAACAGCGCTCACAGACTGCAGAGAGGCAGGCTAAAGCTAAACCATGTTGTTTTGACCGATAAATCATCGAAGGCACGCAAACGTTGCTCGATGTTGGTTGATTTGTGCACGATTTCGATGCTGGCGTTGCTTTTCCCACAAAACGCACGCTCCGTTATTTTACATACAGAGCTCGTAAAAGCGTCTCCGTGTGGCCGCTCTTTACGCAGCTCAAGGACAAGCAGAGCCCAGGATTAAGCAGCGAGACTCCCAGAGATGGCAGCGTTTAGCAGACTGGTGGGATCCGGTATTAAAGCTATTATGAAATATTGGTGAAAATGAGTCTTTTTTTTTTTTTGGCACATGCCAGGGTTAAAGGCTGCAACATCATGTGAAGGAAACTCTATATTCGTTGACATTCAGACGGTTACGGTACCAAGACTGCTTACATTTTAGGGGAGAAATTGCTTTCCAGACATTTAACACCCTGGGTTTGCTTCCTCACAAATTCCCAGATTATAATCACGAAAGTATTTTGGATATTTTGTAATAAACTGATGTCTTACCCGGGCCGCCATCTTCACTGTTTCGGGAGATCGGGGGATGCTGCTCGGGTCAACGATTCATAGGACAGCGGGGACAGCGGAAAAGGCTCGGCAGCAGATGGGTTTATAAGCTCCACAACACCTTGCTCTGATTGGCTGATCCCGAGCGGAAACGTACCGACAGGGATGGCATCACTCGCTCACGTGCTGTTTAGAAGCATTCTCTGCCGTGCGAAAACAGTCACGTGGCATGATTGACAATAGTAAAACACAGTCGACTTGAATTTTGACAATTAATGATGCAGGTTAAACATGCACTTTTTTATTTTTTTTTTTAACTCGTTTAAACACATCCGCGCTGAGTTGTATGCAAACATATGATCAAAATTTAGAATATATTTGTTTGATTGATCTCCATTTATTTACTTCAGCAATCAGATTTCTGAAAAAAAAATTCACCTTCTACCAGTTTTCTGTTTCAGCACCACGGACAGCGCCCCTAGTGCTCCAACTGTCCCAATGCATCTGAACTGTCGCAGTTTTAAAAAGCTTCTGAGACAAGGAGAACTGTGAAAATGACAGCAAACTAAACAGTAAAAAAAACATCATAATGAGAATTGCAATACAGACCTACAGCTTACACGGAAGAGCAGGACTAACACTGAAGTCAACAGCAGATGAGACAATTTGCAGAATACAGTTCTGTCATCAGTGTGAATAGTATGACAATTCGAGTATTCAGTGTCACTGTACTCAGTTATGCGTTCTCTTTAAGATGTGTCTATAATACTATGTAGCTCCTATTAAGTGACTCCATGTTATTTCATTCCCTGTCGAGCAGTAGGATGAACTGTTATAATCTGAGATGCCGGATTACATGAATCCATAAATAGGCCTATGCCCATTACAGTTACAAATCTGAATTTAAAATGATTCAGTTAGTGTGCTCGTGATGTATTAACTGATACTCTGAATACTCTGAAACATGTAGCCTATCACTCATGTTAAAATAGTATTTATGTCAAACAGTAATCCATTTATGACTGAATTTTTTTTTATAAAATGACAAATTAAAATTACATTATTTTTCTTACATAAAATTGTTTGTGTGGTTAATGCTGTATTTACCTAAAGAAATGTCACGATTAACTTTATTCCATGCGCACAAACACTAACCCGTACCGTTAAGCCCCCAAAGTCCAGTTCGTTTGACTATAGTGTGAGTGCTCCATCCCATGCTCAAGCACGGTACACTTCATTGGCCCTGGCACGGTTGGGAGAGGTGTGCTTCAGCATGGTACAGCCGCTCATGCACGAGCACAAGCCCGGGTACGCAACGTGGGCGTGACGTCTAATCGATCCACGTCTTTCATAATCGAGAAATCCAGGATTATAAGAGGGCCATATCTGAACAAAATGACTCAAAACAAGTCACACAGTCAGTGAAGTTGAAGTCAAGTTCTCTTTGTTGCTCTCCAGTAGAGAAATTGGCCGTGTCGCTCAACCTGTGGCGGTCATTTGACAGCGACGGGAAGTTTGAGGGTGAAGTGATTTCATTCATGTTACTCAGCTCATGAGTTGAATCGATCAAGCTGCCTTGTCAAAATGATAAATGAACATTATTTGCTTTTATTGTCTCTTTTGCATTAAATAGTGATGATAGGATCTCGAAGCGCTGAAGAAATAGTTTCAGCTATTATGCAAACAACATATATTATATGACCTCTATGGAAAATAATGCCCCTGAGCGCGTTTCCGGCGGTACTACCAGGGTGCTACAAGTATAGTGATGACGTATGTAACCGTGTTCAGGTCGAGCTAGGCCTTTAGCAGTGGGCATACAGGTGAGCGGGAACTGGGGAGGAGGGAAACCATGCCACAGCATGGTAAGGGGGAACTGGGCCTACTGTAAGTGCGCACTAAGAGCTAGATGTGACGTCAGCACTAATGTTCATTCAGCACCATGGAGAGCAGCACCTACAGCGACATTAATGCCTTGTCAGCATCCCTCACAACTAACAGCTTTTTTAAGTAACAAAATACTTATATAAATATTAAATAATATTTCTGTGCTAAATCATTTTTGGAATGTTTAGAAAATATTTTCTAATCCATTTCCCACCATCATTCACCAACCAGTAGTTTAGGAAATACACATTCATTGTGTTGATGTACTATTGTTATGAATGTTATGATGGGGGGGCGTGTCTCATGGCTAAAATGAATCACGTGGTCTTCTCCCTAATACAATCTTAAACAGAACAAAACACGAAGATGAAGACAAAGATGTAACCAATCAGTCCACGCTTTCTTCACAAACAATAACTACAGCTGTAACTCATAGTTAACATGTAAGAGATTTATTTTTCTCCCCATGATATAAGGAAATGTTAACTCCGTCTGCTCAGACTGGACACAAAGAAGGACAATGGTGTTTGCTGGTAGGACTGTGAACCAATGCAGATCTCTCTGTTCTGATTGGGAGAAATTAAAGATTTTCTGGTTTTATGCATCCAGTCTGTTCTTCATGCTATAACAATATTCTTAATATAATGTTAACAAGACTAAACCCTGTATTTTCTGGCCTTAGTATTTGATTTTTCTTTCCAAAATACACCCTAAAGAAGAACTCTATTCAATATTTAGCTTAAGCTCAGCAATCATATTGGCACGAGTGTTATGATGGGATCGTTTATGTTGCTTTAGCTGTGTATCAGATGCTGCTACACAACACCATGACTGGTTTCAAATTTAGGCAGATTTGCCTAAAGCATTTGCGTCTATACAAGGGGACTGAAGATTTACCAAAGCTCTGAAAGGCTGACACCTTTTTGATGCACTGCTTAGTTAACTGTTATCACCCAAGCTAGAATTATCACTCTGTAACATTAACCTTCAAGACGCTCATTTGGGCTAGAGTAAATAAACCATACTTACAGTAACTACTATGAGTCCTCCTTCTGGATAGAAGCTTCAAAACTCCCCCAAAACATTTCCTCTTCGAACAAAATCTACTTTCCAGCAGCTCTTGAAGATCACTGTATCAGATCAGTGCTGCCTTACTGTGGTTCGAATAAGATCTGTCTCTAAAGGGTCATATCTGTTTCGAATGTATAAAAAACAAACAATGAAGGCCATGCTTGTAAATGTTTTTTTTTTTTAATATAAAGTACCTGTAACAGTTGATCAAATTATTCTTGTTTCTCACATAAATATTCATACATCCACGTAGTAACAGACTGCAGCATCAGCACTCTATAGTAACACTAGTAGCCTTGACTTTTGATCAACAAAGATTCTCCTTTATACAATATGTTTCACAAATGTAAAGGAAGGAAAGCATAATGACTTCATCATCATTTAAGTACGCTTCATGTAGTTTTGTCTTGTACGTGTTGCAAGAGAAAATATGGCACATATTTATGAGTGGATCAATGATGAGATCGTGTAGAGGAGGGTGGCGTTGTTCGTCCAGTTCTCGAAAAGAAGTTCATTCAGACGTGTCCTTGCCTTTCTTTGCCTCCTTCTCAGGCTTCCTTGTGCCTTGTAATTGTACTATATCTACACAGCTGGTAAGACAGAAGAGGTTAGAAGAAAAAATACAATTTCAGGACACCCTCTATTCTCTCTTCTATCACAATCTGACATCCACATGTTTTTAAATAATCATGATATAGTACGTTTGAGTCTGTTGGGGGTGTTTCTTATCTTGGATTGTGTTTTTGATTTTGAAGTATAAAAAGTAGAATTGATCATTTGCTAACCGACCTTAGATCACTTTAGGAATTGTAATCAAGCACAGCCAGCCTGATAAATTCAGGCTATCTCTACACCTCAAAGTATCGTTTAAAAAGAGGAATTTGGAATTTCACAATTATTATTATTTTTTTAACCAGAATCAAAAGAGCAAAAGTATAATTAAAGGGTTAAATAGTGGGTTAATATAGTCTTTAGAAGCATCAGTTGTTAGCATCCCCTGCTAACTAGCTATCTTGCATTTGTAATAACCAAAATTTAATTCCAGGGCCAATGAGCACATCCATGCTAACTTTTGCCTCAGTCTTTAAATATAGTTTCTATCACATTAAAAAGTCTTTCACATCTTTTGAAAAATGTGGGAACTCCGGAAAATTAGAAATAAACAGCATTTTTAACCAAGTTACTACTGGCTAAAAGTAACTTAATGTTGTTGTTGTTAAAGTTGTAGACCCTCTGCTTCATTAAACACAATTCTGACTTTTGTTTTTTTTAACTCATGAGCTGTGCAGGAACAAAGTGTTTAAGATAAGTTACAAAAGGTTGCAGGGCTTAGCAAATGATCAGTGAAACCTTTAGATTTGCCACAAATGATCCTCTTCAGGTCAAAGTGTCATCATTCCTCCTCTAAATTTAGTTGATAGTCAAATCACTGTGTTTTATAAAATCCCAAAGTATAACTACAACCTTTTTTTTAAAATTCAGTTTGTGTTATTTACCTTTGATCCTTAACCTGCTGTCATTCAACTCTGGCCTAAACTTCTACTCGCAGTCTGGAGATTCAAAAGGAACAAATTAATAAAAAGTTATGACTCAACAGTCATTTTGGGGGGGAATGCCGTTCAGACAAATGCTACTTGTGTACTGTTCAACCCATCAGAAACAGCTAGGAGGAAGGTTGTGTAAACAAGCTTGTTTGCCATGGATTCAGTCTTCATGTGCATATTTGTCTCGTGAGGTCTGACTCTGCATCAAGGCTACATTATTTTACAGCATGGTACCAAGTGCAGCCCAATCAGTTCACATCTGAACACACAACACATCCAAAGTTAAAAACATCATCACCTGCATCGTGGAGATACCAAGTCTGGAGGCAGTGTTGACATTTTGTGTTAAAAATCCAAGCCTGGAGGATTTCTTTCACAAACAGAATTGTACATTTTTTAGCCTTTTATCATATCACAGATCAGGCCGAATATATACTGTATATTTCAGAAATTTTAAAACGATGTCAGCTGCTTAAGCTTCGGTTGACTCCAGTTTTGGCGTTCATTTTGCAAAGTGACTCATAATAACTTCCCTGTGTATTTAAATCACAAGCGTTCCATTTCCACTCAACATCATTGCGACCTAAACAAAGTCCTTCTTTTCTTGTCTGAATCATGACATATTATGAAAAAAAAATGTAGTCCTGATTCCTTTAAAGTCTTTCTTGTTCATCAGTCCGAGACTTTGAGTTGGCTCATGTTTCTTAGTGTTTGGTTTGTCTTCGTGGTTTCTTTTTTTTTGTATGAAATAATGAGTCTTCAGAATGATTTGGCACAAGATCTCGGCCTGGTTGAAGGTGGCAGAGCTTTTCAAAAAAAAAAATTGCAGACAGTTTATTGGCTACAGTTAGACTTAGTGATGTGACATCAAGGCAAGGTGTCTCTTGAGACACTCCACTGGTTTTAGACATGCAGTTCAGCTGAATAACGTCTTCACTGGATCAGGAGGGAGCTTTACAAAGTTCCCAAGTTCATCGCTATGAAGCCCCAGATTTAAAATGAACAGAAAGTTCATGCTACAAACTGAAGAAGAGTGTATATGCTATCTTTTTGATCATGGGAAATGTAGGACACAGCACACTTAAAGACTGACCCATACTTCCTGCTTTTAAGTGAAGCCCACAACTTTTTGGACTTGATACTGAATCTTTGATATGCCCCCTAAGGAGAAGAACAAAGCCATTGATTTTTGTGTCTGCTTAAGCTGGAAAAGGTTTCTGAACTGGGGATCAATCTTGGAGTTAGGCCTCTGAGCACCATGTATCCAAAAATACAAGAAATTCTGAAGCTTGGACTCCTCTTGACAAATGTTTTAAAAAGCAAAGCTTCTCACACACTTTCCTTGTTATGGAGTCCTTGAGCCGAGCCGTCTGGATGACACATCACTGAGTCTAGCTTGCGACAAGCTCAACATGGCGACCGCTCTGTCTCTTCTGTTACATATGTTACGGTGTGCCCAAAACAAAAGCAGCATGCTAGGAAACCTAAAGAAGCACACATGCATGTCGAACAACTCAGTGAATAAGTATGCCGTCAGGTCAGCGGACCAGAGAGTCTTTAAATATGAGGCTACTGGATTGGACTGGACCGCACCAGAGGGGGGGCAGGCCAGTTCAGAGGAGCAGATGGAAAGACACAGAGAGTACCTGTGTTGTTTTAGTTTTTAGTGGTTGCTGTGAAGAGTACTGAGCGTGTGAAAACGAAGGATGAAAGAGGAGGGAGGTCGACACTCCAAAGAGCAGAAGAAGTCCCTCGATCCGAGCGGTGACAGCAACATCAAAGCTTTGTTTTGGAAGAAAAGTCTCAACAATACTCGAGGCGTCTACCGCCCTCCAACACACCTGCAATATATTCACATTTTCTTTCATTCGGATGTGTGTCGCCATCGTCTTTCACAATTCAGCTCAATCCATCATTCAGCATTAAGTGTAGCGTTCAGAAGTCTTTCTTTTTTTCATAAAAGAAAACTTTTCTTTCGGGTTATTCAGGAAAGCAGCAATATGGACAGCATGAGAAAGTGCAGGGGAAAGAGGAACGGAACATTTCCCCATGTTTAATATGTGGGTTCAGTATTGCATTTTCCCACGTTTTTGTAAACACAGTTTACAGAAGGGCTTTCTATATGATTCTTAATCTGTGCCCGGAGATTAGCATTTCATACTTTTACAAATTAACAGCTGATCTCTTCATTCATAGCAGATTTGCAACTACCAGTTTGCCCTTAATGGTAAAGTTATTAGGTCTTATTCGGGGGGGAAATAACGAGAAGAACAAATTTGCCAACTAGAGACTAAAAATTCACAGTTCTACAAGTTATAGGCTAGATGTGCTGTGGTTTATTCTTGCTCATCCATCTTTACTGTGTTATTATTTATTCTTCCAACAGTGGGCCAGCGTCGCTAAGTGCAATAATTCTGGGCAGGACAATGGGAATAAGGGAAAGTGGAGTTGGCAATAAGCAGATAATCATGTGCAAGGACATATGAAGTGAGCTCATGCAAGGTGCTTCTTGTTTTTTTTCTTTACCCTCACCATTTCCTAAAAGTAGAAATGTAGAAACACATAATAGCATCTTATCATTTCCATGTGTCACTACAATTATAAAACTTGCTATTTATTCGTAAATCTGTGTTGTCTGGCATTTCTTACCCCATTGTGTGTCTCAAATCTGAGAGAAACGATAAATTGACTATTGCTCTAACTCAGCCTTTTGTTGTCACACCCTCTAGCCTGGGAGCACGGCAAGTGATTGAACATGGCTAACTCGTCTGTGTTGTGAAAAAAAAAAAAAAAACATTGAACATATCTCTTCCTTAAAGCTTATTATGGTGACATCCTGAGCCAAGTGACCTAGGCGTTGGATACCAACAAGTGGCCTGAAAGTCTTGGGAATCTAATCAGATCCAATTATGTCAAATAATGCAACAATACCCCTGATTTAATCTGCTTTCTTGCAGTTAAAGTGACCTGTTGGCCAGCTGCTGCCTTCAGGCAAGTGTTTATGTGGCTCATTATTTGAATTAAATTATTTAAACGCTGTGTTTAATGCGAGAAACTCTCTTGGTTAACCTAAAATATAGTCCATGATAAACCAGTAGAGATGCCAGACAACATTACTGCTCCAACAGATCGCTACACCGCTTTACATTGATGCGTCCTCAACCTTTACTTTGTCAATATTTCTATCCTTCCTCCTTCCCTACCCTCCTCCCAGCTCCCTCTTATCGGTCAAGGCCTATGAGGAGTTTGGTTTTCTCCTCCTCTTTCTTGCTCTCGTTCTTCAGGTCGGCAAACACCTGGGTGAAGTAGTGCGGGTCGGTGTTGATCTGCAGCATCTTGCCGCTCATGCGGTTGATGATCTCCAGGCAGCGGTCCCAGAAGGCCTCCTTCTCTGCCTCCACCAGGAAGGGCTTCAGCGGGTAGGAGATCTCATTCCCCATGTAAGAGTAGGACAGGTAGAGGCAGGTGAGCAGCGAGGCTTGCAGCTCGCGCTCTGACGCCACCTCGGATGATACCACGTCGCGGCACAGCATGTAGAGGAAGACTACGTTGGCCGGAGTGATGAAACCCTGGTCCTGCCAGCCCTGTAGGAGGAGGGAGCGGTCCACGCTGCGCAGCCACAGCACCGGGTCAGTCGGGGAGAGACGCTTCAAGCGGTAACACCGACGGCACAGGAACTCACCCAGGCTGCGCATCAGTTCGCTGGTTGAAGCCTTGGTTACCAGGAAAGAAAGAAAAAGATTGTAGAACGTGATGAAATGTAAATGAAGGAGGATTTTGTTTTTACCCCCAAAAGGAAGAACTAGAGACTTTGTTTACCTGGACAATGACACGTTTTGGAGTGCCTGCTGCAGTCGATGGTTGGATCCCATTGCCTGTGAGGGAATTCTTTTTGGCAGCGACAGTGACTACGTTGGCAAGGGTCTTGGAGGTGGGCAGGTGGGAGGAGGTAGTGGTGGTGGTGGCTGAGGGATCCTGACTTGTGTAAGATGAAAGGTTAGCGCAGGACTGAGACTTCTTCAGTTTAATGCTATTGGAGTTGGAGTTAGCTGTGGCAGTGGCAGTGGCGTGGCCTTCTGGAGAACTCCCTTTCCCGCCATCCCCAACGTCCGACTGCAGCTTCTTGGAGCCCTTCCTCTTCGCTGATACAGCCACAATGCGTTTCCATGGTAACACATTTATGATAGAGGGGCGTTTGAGGGACTTACCAGCCGCTGTGGCAGCGTCCTTAGCGTTCTTGCTGTTCTGGACCGCTGTGTAATGGCCTACCGTGGCCGGGCCGTCTTCAAACAGCACGGCCTTGCGGTAACTGGGAGACAGTGACAACACTGTACCCATGGTGCCGGTGTTAGGGTTAGCGGTGGGACGGAAGAAGGGTGGTGGTGGAAGACAAAGAGCTTTTAGAGCCTCTCACTTTTTGAGGACGATAAACCTGTGAAAAAGAAAAGAAGACAAAAAGTGCAACTTAAAAAATGAATGCCACATTAAGTTAAAGTTAATTATAGGTTTCACTTTGACAAAAGGTAAATAGTAAAAGGAATGAAAGGAAAATGAAATATGCCTGTGTGGTTAGCTACTTCAAAAATACTTTCACTGTCATCCCATCTACCATGAAAAGAGATTGGATGACAGTCTGCTCAAGAATAGAGCTGTGACATTTGGTCGAAAACTCCAGAAATAGTAAATGGAGTACAGAGTTTCACAAGCTAGATGTTGTAATTCATCTGTTTCCAAGGCCAAGAGGTAAAAACATTTTTTTACAGACTTTTTACGGACAGACTTATAGTCTTCCTCAGTTAATGGAGAGAGTTTAATGGAAGTCCTTGTTTTGATAGCTTTATCCATGGTCAACGTTTCAGGCTTCATTTACTCGGGGAATGTAGGTGAGATGTGGCAGAGAGCTCTGGATCAAATCTCGTGAATATGCTTTTTTTTTTTTTTTCATTAAAAGTTGAGCAGCTGTTTGTGTACTTAAAGGCCAAGATGAGCTGTCTTCAACTGTATATGTGAGTAACTTATTGATTGACAAAGAAACCAATCAAGGTCCACTTATATTTTTCCAGCACTTTCAAGAAGACCCTGAGATGCAGGTTGTTCGAGACTGCTTTTGTTTGTTTTGTTTTACAATTTGAATATTTTTGAATGCATATCATTATTTTTGAATTGATTAAACGATCATTGAATATTACGCATTGACTGTCTTTTTCAGTCTAATTTGTGAGTTTCCATGGCTTAATACTTCACTAGCATTTAGCTATCATTTAACATTCCTTTGCTAGTGTACAGAACACATCACCTGTGTACTAAATACTTCACAGTGGCCACTTGAAGAGGTCTTTTGAAGAAAATAGGCACATCTCGGTTGAAGGGACCCCAGCTGCCATGAACTTAATTTTCCCTGATTTTTGTCTTCCCTTAATGTCAATGAAGACATATTGTTGCTTCAGCCTCAGCCTGCTGCTGCTGCTGCTGCTGCTGTTCATCAGTATTATATAAGAACCAAGATAGGGCCACAGAGGAACGGGAAAGAAATGTGCGCAAGCATCCATCTTAGCTTCAAAATGGAAGCCTTGAAAACAGCCCCTCCAACACACCGCAGCTTCACAAGCATCCGCTAGAAACACCTTGGTCAAAACATGCCATGAGCATGAAAACAGGGAATGAGATTCTGTCACATTTAATGTTTACACCACCTGTTTTATAGGAATATCTACGTGTGGAGAAAAGAGCGCTCACACACCTGTTCATTGGTGATTCTGTCGTCATTGCTGGCTTTAACATGAGCCCAGGCATTTTTGGTGTATTGATGCCATTATGTGTTTCATGGTTCGCAGAAGCTTATATATGCAAAATGCAAGAAAAATAAATCTGTTATTTGACCTACCTTCTGATTAATTGGCTCTTCTTGTGGAATCCATAGGCTTAAATCACACCTTGACCCTTCTTGCTGCTGGGCAAATGCGGTCAAAATGTGAAAACGCCTACAGACCTTCTGCTTGGTTTCCACACCGCCAACACGAGCTGTCCTGGGCGTGAAAACGATTCCGTCTTGATAGTGTACAGTCCCCGGCGCTTAAGGGCCCACAGTTTTTGTTTCCCCCCAATGAGCTGCTGCTGCTTTATGAAGGCTATTTTTTAAATCTTGGTTTCAAAAAGTCCCTCGCACGTAGATGCGGAAAGACAGGAGGCAGATGAGAAATGTGCTTCACTCCTTCGCTCGCAGCGAGGGGGAAGATGTCTTCCATTGAGAGCCGAAAATCTCTACAGTCAGGGCTTGTTGACGTCCAAACACGACGCTCAAAGCTTGGAAAATCTCCCTCAGACACCAACACGTTGGAGCATATCGCTCTGATGAAAAAAAAAAAAAAAAAATCAAAACAAAGGCTGAGGAAAATGGCCACTATGAATTCCTGAAATGGAAAGCATCTTCAACTATGCAAACCTGTCAAAGGGAACGGAGAGGCGATGGAGAGAGAGAGAGAGAGAGAGACCCGTTGCTTTGATGCGGGCATCTGCAGTTATTCGGGTTGGATGTGGGGGAGAAACGGCGCCTTCTCATTGGCTGCTCTCTGGGATGCTGCTGCTGCTGCTGCTGCTGCTGGCCGTCGCTGTCGCAGCCGCGCCGCTAACGCCATTGGCTGTCGACCGGCTCGAGCCTATCGGAGAGGTCGCTGTCCGAGGTGCTGAAACCAGCCGAGCAGATGTGTCAAAAGCTGCTCTCCGCGGTGGCACGGATGGGGGCGGAGGGGAGGAGTGGATGGGGGTTGGGGGGGGAGGGGGGGTGCTTAAGATGAACGCGGAGGTTTTTGTGAATCAGTTTGAGTGGGCTGAGCTCGCTTACATTGTGGGGGTGATAAATCCGCCTGCAGAGAATTGTGCTCATGCGCGCTGTTCTGACAGCAGAGGAGCGTCTGCTATGGCATTTACACATTTGCTTAAACACTGAATACCAGCACCGTTGTGAATATCTTTGGCACTCACCTGCAGTCTTTCTACCTGTGACTAAATCATCAACTGTCCTAAAATATGTGCAACAGCATCTCCTTCTAGGATGATGTCGCTTAAATCAATAACACGTTGAGGCTCAAGATGAGGCTACAAGGTCAAGGGAGAAAGACAAAAACAGGTTGACTCTTGCTGATTATCTCATGACCAAGTCCAATCCTACTTATTTTGCAATCCTTTGAAATGTAGCCTAAATGCTTCAGAAACAATGATGCATCAATTATCAATCTATTAGAATGATGTTTTTAGACTTTGAACATAGGAAATGATGCAACAAACTGTTTACAGGCTCAGTGGTGCTTTTCCTGACGAGAAGAAACGAGTGCTTCTTTAAGGTTACTGTAAGTCAGTGTTCATCTCAAACCAGCAGCCTAGGAATCCTATTTTTATTTCTCAGCCGTCTGGAGCCTGCTGCACAAGGACACAGGCCCTTCAGCATATTTTTAGTGCAATACAGAGTTTTGCAATTTAGAGTGTGATTTAGTGTGAGCCACCTGAAAACTGAGGCTATGGTGCAGGACTGAAATGAGGGATCATAGTACATTACGGATGAGAAATGAATCAAGTACCTCGGCTCTCACTAAGATGGAAGGCCCATGTTGACTTGTTTATAGTAGTGTTTGTACCTTTTACATACAGACTTGATGTATGTGGTAGAGAGGTACGTATAAGATATCTCTTTACACTGAATAGCTTGTGAGGCCAAGACTAACATGAAGGTCATAGTAGAGATGAACAAGTCTCAAACAGTCTGTTCTGAGGAAAGCATAGAGCATATTTTCTGACTCGTATCATATTACACGCTCAGTATTCTCCTACCCTCTGGAAGACGATATTGAGTTACAAATAATATTAACTTCATTGTTTTAAAAACTCATTTGTGCTAACCTCAATTCGAGTATTTGTTTCTGAGGCTGAAGGGATCGTGCAATAACTTCATGATGTTTTTTTTTATCTCTTAGAAATGTTGTGTGTTATAAGGAACACGTCTCATAAGTTTTTATTGTTCATTTGGTTGGTGTATGCTACTCTTAAAACGTTGCTTGCTGTTTTTGGTTTTCTATATTTATGACACCAATGCTGACACAGCTAAATGTCTTCAACAGTGTCCAAGACAAACTTCTCCACAGGGCAATGAAAGTGTATTGCATCACGTTGTATTGTATCGTACGGTATCGTACCGTACTGTATCGTATCTTAGGGTATCGTATCACATCTTATCGTATTGTATCGCATCATATAGTATTTTTACATAATGTTTTGTTCGATAATGTAATGAACAAAAAAGTAGAAAAGAGAGCACACTCAGTGTTCTTTGACATCTTTTAATCTGGCTAGAGCAGCAGCATACAAAGCAGCATCAGACATGATTTAGCAAAGAGCCTTTATCAGTGTTTGCTGAAACGAGTCCATGGCTGGTCTGTGCGCTGCTGCTCTACCCAGATTAAAAGACAGTAAAAGACATTGAGTGTGCTGACTGTTCTACTTTCTTGTAAGTCTTTTTGCGGCTGTGCCCTTGAAGAGTTTTACTTGTTTGAGTGTGCTCCTTTTTCTACCGTTGGAAGATACTGTAGTATAACACAAAGTCTTATCACATAGTATCGTATGCTATCATTGTAAATCATTTCCAAAAGACTGCAAAGAAAATGTCACCATGGGGTGAGGAATGTTATTATCTTGATGTAAGACAATTTATCATGTGAACACTTCAATGTTGTTAGTGATAGACCACTTGACTTGATGGTAGGGTAAGCAATTTATTTTAGAGTTATACTCAGCAGAAATACTCTTCTAATACCAACAGTTATCAGTAAATAGAATCTAGTGTTTTGACCGAAGGAGTCGTAAAGTGAGGGATAAGGAGACTTCTCAGGGCTCTCGCTTCAATAATAAAAAGATGATAGGCCTTGGATGCAGAGATCCACAGAGCCTGGATATCAGGTCCATATTTTTGTGTACAATGCCTCTACAGAGGGCTGAAATAGGTCTGTGACATCATTATATTGATCCAAATAAAAATATGAAGACTGACATTTGTTTGTATTTTGTGAGAAGACTTTGCAGATGTCTTAATTTGAATGTTAGGTGGGTTCCTTGTACAAACCCGTAGGGGGTTCCTTGTGCCACCTGTGCATTCCTTCTTCTGCCTTATTTAATTCTTCTTTCTGCTGCACAAATAAATAAAGATACAGATAAAGATGTGTCCTCTCTCCAATCTCTCTCTGTTGAAAGTTAGGCTGCCATAAGTTAGGCAGTAAATATTCATGTGTTTGGGGAAGTTTAAAAATGTTGGCGCTCTGGAGCATTAAGGGAGGGCTTAACCTGAGTTTCTGAAAACACTGTGAATTATGTTAATATCTACCAGAATTTGGTTAATCTTAAACAACATTTGTTGTTGTTTTTTTTGCAAGTTAGTTTTGTAAATAAAGTGTTAGTCCCAAAGTCAGGAAAAATATTTTGGGCTTTCTTTAGAAAATAACTCATATTTCCAGTACGGAGTAAGTCCATGACTTTGTGCTCAGGTATGAGGAACTAACTCAGTGTGATGCATCCCTTCACTTTAAGAGCCATTTATGTAGAATCTAACAATCACTTCTCCAGTAACTCATCATTAAGTTATTTATGGTCCTCCATTAGAATTAATACAGGGAATACTTCAAACAATTCATTAAGTAATTCTTTCATTATTTGTCACTCATTTGACAGTTTATAATAAACTGATAAATGATTTCTACATTTGATTTAATTAGGGCGTACTCATTCACTAGCCATAAGTTCCTCATCCATCCTTCCATGTTCCCTGGTGACAACTCAACATGTTGTAAGATCTAATAATTACACTAAATAGCCTATGCACCACATTGCTTCCCCTGCCTGAGCATTCAGTTCATACTATTTATAAAACACACAAAACAAGACATTCCCCTAAACGAAAGGGTTTTGTTGTTTTGGGGATCTCTAGTTGGAGGTTGGTTGTTTTGGCTCTTGCTTTTTAATTATTTCCAGCTTTGTTCAGGAGTGCTCGCAGCAGCAGTTTTGTTTTCATTAAACTACATTACCCGTCATGCACTTCCCGGAAGCGGTCGTCAACTTCCGGGACATGGGGGTTAAAAGATGGTTTACAGCGCAATGTTTTGTTTTTGAAGTCTTCCTCCAAGTTTAGGCAGTTCGCTTGAACAAATCAGTGCGTGTATGTTGCTTTACACTTGCTGATAGCGTGCAGATGGATGCGTTACACAGACATCGTTCACTTTATAAGGGGACGACTCCGCCATGGAAAGAAACGTACCGAAAGGTGAGAAAATCAAATGTTAGCCGGCTAGCTTGTCGGGCGCCTCCGGGTTCTACTTTAATGTCCTTCTGTTCTTTTTTTTTTGCGTACAATTTCCAGCGCTGTGTGGACAGACTGAAGAGCAGCCGGTCGAGGCTGCTGGATAGATACCGTCTGATGGGACAGAGTCAGCAGCTCTGCGGCTCCGGGGCTTCCTCCATCATCGTGCAGGAGGTGATGGAGGAGGAGTGGGGCG